TTATATCCCCAGGTATCCACACCTGCGGATGTGAATGCGGATATCTGCGGCTCGTTTTTGTGGGCACGGATACAAATTTTGTACCTAGAACTTTGCAAATGTACGGCTATCCTTGGGTATCTGCAGCCGTCAATGCGGATATCTATGGATCATTTTTGCAGATACAAATTTTGCATTCACGCAGGGCTCTAGCTACCAGCACTGAATGAAGCAGGGAGCTGTCCAAGGTACTGTAGTTCCAGTCCCTGGAACTGAGGGGCGGAAATTGCAAAGCATGTAACAGCTGGAATATTTGCTCTTCTTGCCTTCCAAATTTTTGTATGGGTCTCATGGTTTGAGCCATTTCCTTTTCTCTCTCTTATTTCTGTCCAGTAGCAGAGCAGCTGTCTCTTACAAGAAGGGTAAATTGAGCAGGCTGTCTATTCCTTCATAGGATTCACATTGTATTAACCCTTCAATCAGAATCAGATTACATGCATTTATTGTGATTGAAAGGAACTAAATAAAACCTGAAAGCCCATTCAAATTAAGCTGCACGCTAGTTCAGCGACACAGATATTAAATCTGTTCTGCAAGTGGGTAAACTGACTCAAGACCAGTCAACCTGCGGAAGAGACACAAATAAATGGACTCTAAGTCCTCTGCTCTAGACACTGTATCAAACTACCCTACTTTCAAGTGTTTATTTCTTGTCTCTCCCTTCCCAGAGATTTCATGGATTCGTATAAGAAAAGCAGATGGGCAAGCATTTGAGTGAGGAGGGGGGTCTAGTTTTAAAATATTCCCACTAGAGCATGCTTTTCTACGTTCATGAAGGTAAGCAAAAGTTTAGGATGAAACTGAAATTTGGCAGAATTAGTTTTGCAGTTGGGGGAGTGTCTCATTTTAACATGAGACACTAGAATTTAGGCACATGGAGTCCATACTAAAGCACCTACATCAAAGAAGAGGTGTCTAATACGTACAGGAGAGAAATAGCAAGTGACAAAACAAGAGGGGATTAAGCAAAATCTGAATTTAGGTGCAGCACTAAACTATTCACTCTGCACAAATGTACCTTTTCCACACTCTGAGTAGAGGGCAGAGGTTTTCTATCCCATCCCATGGCTTACATAGCTGGTTTGAGAAAGTAGCTAAAGGTATTACTGGCAACAACGTGGGTTTTGTTTTTAAACATAGGTAATAGTGTTACTTGACTCTCTCTAGAGAGCCCCAACAACTCCTATTGCCTGCCAACTAGGGTCCACTATATTCAAGAATGTCTTTATTTAAACAGGTGTAAAAGCGCCACCGTTTCATTGGCAGTCCCTGGCTGGACGAAGAAGTTAACATTGCTTCATTTTCAATCAGTCAAGACCTTTAGAAGAGATTTTTGAAGTTCTGCCACATTAGTATTCAAACAGGTGATCAGACCAACTGCCATGATGCACTTCAAAAGCAAGGTGGCAGAGATGCATCTCCCAAGATTATAGGTGGATCTGAATATCCACAGACTAAATTAAAGCAAGTGTTAAACAAGACATCTCTCTAATCCATCTCAGCTGCTGACAGCTTTTCACCCAGGACCCTGCACAAACCTAAGTAGCAGGCAACTAGCCTGCTACTTACTGGTGGTGCATTGAAACGAAAAGGACAGATGTGTCAGTGACTCAAGGGAGCAGCCCATTTCTATCACTCTGGCGGGTAGTCTCGGATGGATGGCAGGCCTGGCTGGCATTCATGTGAAAGCGAAGCGTATGACTGGGGGTCTCTGCCAGGTGGCGGTGAGTGGGGAAGAGAGGAAGCAGAGAGCCTAAGAAGCAGCTGTCTGAGCAATTGCTGCACTGTACTTCTCAGCAGGTGAAAATCAGCTTGGGGAAAAAATACTACCACAAAGCCTACACATTTGCTGCAGAAACCAGGGTGAAACAGAGTGAAGTGAAAGACGTGTCTTTAATGTCAAAACATCAGTGAGAATGGGGAGAAGGGGTTGTCTTTTGGATGGAGGAGAACAGTAGTAAGTTTCCATTAAATGATACTTTTAATTCCCTGGTTGAGCTGATGACCTCTCAACATCTAAGAAGCGGAGGATTTTCCTAGACTTCTTGAGTTGCTACTGATTAATGTTTGATTTGGAGGAAATCCTGCAGATCTCATTACCAGAAAAATGCTGACAAATCAGACGGAGTTCAGAGAACAAACGAGTATGGGGCTAATGAGAATGGCCGGCAAGGGAGGGGTTATGTATGGATAGTGCTTGACTAGAGAACACTAAAAGAGTAGAGTAAGGCCAGGACTACACTTGACCTGGCAGCTTGGCTTACAGTATGCATCTCCAACTATGTAGACTACGTTGCTAGAGTTTATTTACCTTCAGCAAAGTTTGGTGTTGGCTTCACAGCAGGAGGCTGACAAAAGCAACTACCCCCACCGGTTTCCCTTACTCCTTTCAAAAGCAGGAGTACTGGACACCCTTGGGGGTGCCCTTTGAGTTTGATTTAGCAAGTCTTAACTAGACTCGCTAAATTGAACTCTGGAAGATCGATTGCGGCAGTGTCGATCTTCTGTGGTGTAAAGACAAGACCTAAAAGTCCATCAGTGTAGAAAGGGTTTAAACACTAAGAAAGAGGAACCATTTAGAGAGGAACATGGGGTATAAACAATAGGAAGGGCATCCATGTATACTGTGTATTTAGAAACACTCCCAGAGGTGTAAAAGTCCTACATTTGGGATAAGACTCGATAAAAATGGAATGTTTATTCCAGGTTCCAATCCTATGTTGGTAGAGAGATGGACTGAATGACTTAAGTCTTGTCTGTCGCTTAAAACCGAGATGTAGGCAGCCTGGCACTCTTACAGGGGCAAAAAACACCATTATTTAGAATTCTAATTTATTATTAAATTACATAACAAAGCTTTTCTATACATACAGAAAATGCACATGAGGTGAGAACAAAAATAATTAGAGGTACAATAAAATAGTTAGGTTTCAAGAAGCCATTTGAAAAGCAAACACATTAGAAAGTGCAATTAGAAAAGAACATCCATGGGGCTGGATTGGCATATTCCATGAGAAAGAACAAACATTAGACTTGACAGAGTGCGACTGGATCAGCTTTCCGCTCTTCTTATGGTGGGCAGACCAACAGCTTCTTCATTCAAAGCTGAAAGCCTCACATTGATTGCAAATGTCCAGTCATCACGAGAGAGACGGCACAAAGAGCAGACGTCTCCCAGAACATGGCTCAGCTTTGTCTGAGCTTGTCTTTCAATGCATGCTCCTGTGCCGCGTATTGTTACACAACTCTGCAGGGAAGGGAGCATTTGTAATACCAACCAGGTCACTCTCTGACGGAGGAAATCAATCTGCAACCCTTTGTAACAAACCGGTGTCCCCTCCTTCCCTGCCCTGAATGCTAGTTGAAAACAAGAGGGGGGAAAAATTCCATTCTGCATCAAGGGTGCTTGGGAAGCAACTTTTAGTCGTTTTAGAAGTTTAACGGTGTTGGCTAAATAAGCTACACAGTCCAACGTGCTAGGTCAGCTCTCACCCCATGTGCAGCAATTCCCAGGGTTCCCTGAAGAAAAGAGCCGACAGTTGAACCGTCAATGCATGGCTCACTCCTAAAGATCTACTTTTGCCTTTTTATTTTCAACACCCAGTGGGGAACTTTAGATTCTTCACACACTGGTTTTGTTAGGGCTTTCAAAAGGGGCCTTTTGCACGGAGCTGAAGAAAAGCTTCAGTTATTATGTAATGTGGCTGTGTGAACTGCCAACTGCATCCAGAACTCTAGGCCCAGGAGTTTCTAAATTTGCCAGGGATTAACTGAAGAAGAAATGTGCTACGTTTTCCATTACAGCCCCTCGGCAGCAGGCAGACTCTCTGACTAACGAAACCACCTGTCTAATTAAGGAACAGAGATCTGGTGAGCCTTCTATTGGTCCC